AACCACCACGTATAGAGCCCTAAAATATTCCCCCTTTATTTCTTGCATTTTCTTGCAAACAAGCACCGTCTCCCAAAGAGAGAGAAAGAAAGAAAGATAGAAAGAATGAATGAAAGAAAAGTTCTTTCATTTTGTTCACACCGAAAAAGTTCTTGCATTTTCTTATCTTCGTTTATGGCATTTTGTTCGGCGTCGTCTTTTCTTTTCTTCCTGTGTTTGTTTCGGGCAAATAAAAGATTGGAAATAGATTTTAGATTATACATTCAGGAATAATGTTTATAAGGCTCATTTTAGTACCACTAGACTAATAATACACGATGCTCTACGAGTAAGATACATGAAAATTACTTTAGAATATGAAATCAACAAAAATCCTTGTAAAACATTGTTAGGACTTTAATTGGCAATTCGTTGGTATTATTATAAAAATTCAAAAACAGGTACATTTGGCAACTTATGTTTATGGAGAAGATTAGAGGTGATTTTGGTTGCTAATTGCTCGGAATTTGGAATGATTTTGTTGATGGAAATCAATATTTGGAAGGACATTTCAGAGAAGATTTAGAAGATTTGATTCACATATTCAAATTAGGAGATTTACAGATTTATTAGAGAAAATGTGCTCATATGGAAAAGTGATTTGCTGCATAATTGATTTGAAGAGATTTGAAGAGATATCTTGGATATATTTGATTTAGAATGTAAATGGTATTGATCTTGGTGCCAAAATAGTATATGCTGCATGTGCTTTGCAAAATAAGGAAAAATCTGGATTGGTGCTATTGCTATATATGTAGCATGTGTGTACATGAAGTTATGATCTTGCAAGAGAAAAAATGAGCCTTTGTGTTTTATGGTTTTAAAAATCAATTCAAGGCCATATTATGGAAAATGGTTTTTATAGAAGAAATATTCAGAAAAAAATCTATGTGAGAGTGAGCATTTATGTGTTGTTTAAAGATTGTCCTTCAGGAGAAGGATTAGAAGCCTTCGGGAGAAAGCGCACTGCCAGGCGAAGGGATTTCACCGTGCAGTTTGAAGACGAGTGATGCTCGCTGGACAAGGCCATTAAGGAGATTCGACACGGTGGCGACAACGTCAATGAGAGAGTCTTTGGGGTGTATAAGTCCGATTGGTGTTTGTAATCCTTTGATCTTAGTGGATTGTTCACTGTCTGGGCGTGGCCCCGTAGATGTAGGTGTGCGCATCAAACTGCGATACTATTTTCTGGTGTCCTTTATGTTTCTGTATTATTTTCCTGTATTGTTGTTTTGCTGGTTTAATCTCAGATTTTCTGTTAAAACAGTGTTAGTTCTATCCATTAAACAGTGATTACATACAGACATGCACACATAATTCAATTTTATATATCTCTGGTTCACCCAGAACGTGTGTTGTGTCAACACGCGCGTGCATTTATGCACCCCTCTATTTATGGATTGAAGGTAGATAGATTAAAAGTCCGTGAGCATAAATGTTCTAACTACTTAAAAGACATTTTGTCACGCCCCTAAACAGGGTGGATGGCGTGGAGGCTTATTTAGATATTAAACATTAATTAAGAAAGTAATTAAGCATTTAATAATGCTGAAATCAATTTTAAAGATAGTATATTTAAATTTCTAAATAAACCCCACATTTTAAGGAAATTAAGTTATAAGAAAGAGTGAGGTGGATTTTCTCAAACCACAATAAAACATATTCAAATTTAAGCCTCACGCATCATGTCAGTTTTCCCCACAGGGATTCCACATTGTGCATACATAAGCAAAGCAAATAACTGAATATATACATCAACCACAATCTAGTAGAATTTAGGGTTTACAATCCATAACTTATATATGCCTTAGCAATCAACAACAAGGAAGGAAATACTTCACAACTTCCTCTCTTCTTGAGTGAATTTCCTCACCGGTAATCACCGTCTACTCAGAACTACTTTTAGCGTCGTCTGGGAGGGATTTAATACATCAAAACATAGGATAAATGAGCGAGAGGCCCAGTAGAATATAATTTCATAAAAACTTTATAAATAAACAAAGTACATGGTCCGAACTTATCATTCGAAACCAAAACATCCTTTAAATGAAGGAAATATACATAAATCTTGAAAGTCCATATTACAATAAGTGATTCACAAGATTATGATGAATCACTTACCTTATTAGCAAAGTCATGATATCACCACCGTACTGGCCCATACAGGTTTCGGGACCTACCCCTAAAGATATGATTTTCATACCCCGATATCTAGGTCATCATGCGTTTTACTATTTCTTAAAATATCTCATTTTAGGAAAGTATTACATTAAACGCTTCTTTGAATCTCAATGATATCAAAACATTTTTATCTTTAAAACGTTTTCATAGGCCAAAGTCATTTTAAACAGGATTATCAAGGATATGGATAAGAATATCATACCTCTTGGATATTTTAGTCTACGGATAACTTCACGTTATCCAACCATCTATTCTTGAAGCTCCACAACCAATCGTGCCGCTAGCTTTGTCATCAAAACAACGGTTTAGAGTTTAAACCTTTTCTCTAAACAACCTAGCTTAATTATGTATAATTGTATCATACTAGTGTGCCTTGACTCAAAATTAAAGTTCATAAACAACTTCTTAATTAAAATTGTGATTCTTTGAGAATTTGGAATTCAAACAAGAGAAATGGAATGGTATAACGATTAATGTGGCTAGTCCACTCACTTTGAGTTCTTGAATGAAGTTCACTTGGTTCTGCATTGGGTTTTGGGCTCAAAAACAGGTTTTAGAACTATTTTTGGTCAGAATTAGTGTGCACTGGTCGACCGGTGACAGAGTGTAACTCCACAGTCGACCGATGGAGAGGAAACGTTGTGCAGATCGGGGAAAATGGCCGATCTGCGGAGAAAAATGCCAAATCCTCCAATTTCAGGTTCGATTTCAAGATATTTTCATGGGGATTCATCAAAACTAGGTTCCAATCATCAATCTAAGTTCAAAGCATCAAAAACCTCCAAATTCTATCATGTTTTCAACCAAAATCCATCAAAATCAAGTCTAAACCAAAATCTCACCAAACTAAACCAAAAATCAAGTTCTTACTAAGGAAATCTGAGATTCAAGGGTTGAGTTTCTCAAAGAGTTTACCTTATTCTTTCCTTTTGTGAAGAAAACCTCTTGAAAATCCTCCTTGGCTCAGATTTGGACCGAATCTCCTCTTAGAGAGAGGAAAACTCTGAGAGAAAGAGAGAAGAGAAAGAGAGAGCTAGAGAGAAAGTGAGACGAGAGAGAGAGAGAGAGTCAGTGAGAAAGAGAGAGAGAGCTACGGGAAAGAGAGAGATAACGAGAGAAAAGAGAGAGAAAAATGAGGGAAAGAAAGAAAGGAAAATAAAATATAAGGAAAAGAAGGGAAGTAGGTATTCCCACCTACTTCCGAGGTGGAATTGTTAATACTAAAAATACTTAAAGTTTCTTGAAAATATTTAAGATTGAAAGATAAAAAAAAAATGCTTAATGAACATAATTAATTAAGAAAATCAAATTAGGCACACTAATATATCACAATTAACATAATTAAACATGTTTCATTCATCAAGTTGTTACAGCTCTACCCCCTTAAGGAATTTCATCCTTGAAATTAAAGCTTACCTCAAAATGAGAACAAATCTTGCATTGTCGCTTCTAGTTCCCACGTTGCTTCCTGAACGCAATGATGTTGCCACAACACTTTCACTAATGGTATCTCACGATGACGTAGACTTTTTATCTTTAGGTCAAGAATTTGAACCTGTGCTTCCTCGTATGTCGTGTCATACTAAATCGGGACAACATACCAATACACAATGGCTTCCGGATCGGGTTGACACTTGCGAAGCATGGAGACATGAAACACATCGTGCACATGGGACAACTCCGGAGGTAAAGCGAGACGATAAGCAAGGACACCGACTCGCTGAACGATTTGGAACGGGCCTATATACCTTGGTGCGAGTTTCCCATTCACATCAAAACAAGTGATTCCATTGCGTGGAGAAACCCTAAAATAAGACAAAGTCGCCTTCCTGGAACTCTAAGGGTCTATGCCTCCTATCAGCATAGCTTTTCTGATGACTCTGAGTTGTTAACAACCGTTCCTGAATAACGACTATCTTCTCATTATTCTCCTGGATGTCCGGTCCAAGAGTAAGTCAATCCTCTGGCTCGAGCTAACAAACTGGTGATCTATAAGGTCTACCATATAGAGTCTCAAACGGTGCCATACCAATTCTAAATTGATAGTTGTTGTTATAGGCGAATTCGACTAAATGAAGATACTTCTTCCTGTTTCCACCAAAATTCAGAACGCAAGTGTAAAACATGTCCTCCAGAATCTGAATAACTCTTTTAGATTGTCCATCAGTTTGAGGATGAAATGCAATACTAAAATTCAATTCAGTCCCCATGGCTTCCTGAAAATTTTTCCAGTACTTTGCATTAAAGCGAGTATCACGATCTGATGTCATGGACAATGGAACTCCGTGAAGTCTAACGATATGTTCTAGTTACAACTCTCCTAGAATCTTCCTAGAATACGTTGCACGAAATAGTATGAAGTGCGCAGACTTCGTCAGCCTATCCATAATGACCCATATAGCATCATGCCTCTTCTCAATCCTCGGTAATCCCATAAGAAAATCCATCGTGATGTATTCTCATTTCCATCTAGGAAAAGGAAAAGGTTGCAGTTCTCCAGCGCGTTTTTGGTGTTCAGCTTTGACTCGGAGACAAGTCACACATTCTAACATGTATTTGCAAACATATTTCTTCATACCTCTCCACCAATACTGCCTCTTAAGATCCTAATACATCTTGGTACTCCCAGGATGAATAGCAAATCGTGACCTATGAACTTCCTGAATGACTGCCTTTTGTATTTCATCCACCTTAGGAACAACAAGGCGGTTTTTGAAGTAGATCATTCTATCCTCTCGAATATTCCAATCATCGAGCTGTTCTCCATTCTGAATTCAAATTCAAACTCCTTGAAGATGTGGATCCTGCCATTTGTTCTGCTTGATTTGTTGTAGAAGGGCGAGCTTAGAAACCAAGTTGTACGCCATACCTTGATTATAATCCTCATAATATTGAAGATCATAACCATCTACTACCTCAGTCCTTTTCCAATCCTCCAAAGTCAAAGACGCCAGAATTCCCGAGATCTTTCTGCTGAGTGCGTCAACTACCACGTTGGCTTTTTCAGGATGATACTACAGAGTAAAATCATAATCCACCATATACCACATCCATCTTCTTTGTCTCAGATTTAAATCCTTCTGAGTGAACAAATATTCTAAACTCTTATGATCAGAGAATTGGAATTTTGATCCATAGAGATAACATCTTCACATCTTAAGGACAAAAATCATTGCAACTAACTCCAAGTCATGAGTGGGATAATTTTGTTCACGAGGCTTTAGTTGACTAGATGTGTAAGCTGCAACATGTCCTCCTTGCATCATAACAAACTCAAGTCTTTGTCTTAATGCGTCGGAATACACTTCATACGGCTCCTCGATATTAGGTATGGTTAAGACTGGTGTGCTTGTCAATCTGGTCTTCATTTCTTAGAAAGTGTGTTCACAGTCGGCATCCCATTCAAATCTGACTTCTTTCTTGGTTAATCGGGTCATTGGTGCAGCAATGCTCAAGAAGTTTTTTATGAATCGCCGATAATATCCCGCAAGTTCTAGGAAACTTCGGATTTCAGCTACATTCTTCGGTCTTTCCCATTGCAGCACAATTTCAATCTTCGAAGGATCCACCGAGATTCATTGTCCAGATATAACATGTCCAAGGAACTTGACCTCCGTTAACCAAAAGTTACACTTCTCCTTTTTCACATAAAGCTAATGTTCACGAAAAGTGTGGAGAACGATCCTCAAGTGTTGCTCATGGTCTTCCCAAGTCTTTGAATAAACCAGGATGCCCTCGATAAAGACTATTACAAACTAATCCAGATAAGGTCAGAAGACTCGATTCATTAGGTACATAAAAGCTGTCGGAGCATTCGTCAACCCAAAAGGCATCATTAGGAATTCAAAGTGCCCATTCCGGGTTCTAAAAGCAGCTTTTAGAATGTCTTTTTCTCTTATTTTAAGCTGATAATAGCCAAATCTCAAGTCAATCTTAGAGTAATACCATCATCCACCCAACTGATCGAATAACTCATCGATTTTGGTAATGGATACTTGTTCTTTACGGTTACTCTGTTCAACTGCCGATAGTTGATACACAAACGGAGAGATCTGTCATGCTTTTTCACAAATAGAACATGTGCACCCCACGAGGGATGTCACGCCCCGGGGCAGGGGTTAGTGACGTGTAAGTTCATTTAGGAGTTAAACGGAATTAGGAAAGTGATTAAGCATTTATAATCATAATAATAAAAAGTAATAGGAAAATATTCAAGAAATTTCCAAACGAGCTCCACTATTTAGCCAAAAATAAATTACAAGAAATTTATAGGATCACCTACACTTTCTAAATCATTCAAGGCTTCACCCACAGGATATGCAGTATTGTACATACATGAACATGTAAATAACATTACATACATCAACCACAGTCTAGCAATCCAAAGTTCAGTGTTTACATAATTTACAATTCTTACATTTGTACACCAGGAGGATGAACACAATCCTCCCTTAATCGGATGGTAGCTGTAATGACCGAGAAAAATTTAGGTCTAATCTGAATAGTCCAGTATTTGACCGAAATTCTTTTCGGAATAGTAAGTACTAGAATTTTGATGTAATCAAGAAAATGTTATGTAAAAACTTTATGTACGGGGTAAAATTTCTCGAAATATGTAAAGTTATAATACGAATATTTTTACAAAGAAAATTCGTAAATATCAGTTATGAATAGTGAAATATTAGTTAAAAGTTAGAACTTTTAGCAGGTATATTTTAGTTATGAAAAACTGAAATATTTGGTATGTGACCAAATGACCAGCTAGAAAAAGAGTAGAAACATTATAAATAGGGTCATCACAGTTGGTATCAGAGCGACAGTTCTGCCACCCACCCACATTCTGCTGAGCATCTGACTCTACATTGTCCAAGTAAGTTATTCATTCTTTTGAATTTAGAATTCAATGTGTGAATTTTGTCCTTATAGGATATACGATATGTTTTGAACATGCCTAGGCAAAGCAAACCCAAAAGGGGGATCAAAAGAATAATCAAGCTTGTCAGAGAAAGGACAAGGAAATCGACCCCCGCAGAGTCATCCACAGAATAACCAGAACCCGAATAAGAGGAAGATAAATTTTGATTTTGAAATCCTTTATCACCCTGGAAAGGCCAATAGGGTAGCTGATGCCTTAAGTCATAAGACTACCGAATTAAGTCACATGTCATTGGATAGATTTCCAACACCTTTACAAAAGGATATTCATTCATTAGGGTTGGAGCTAATTACAGGTAAATTAGCCACTCTACTAATACATCCATCTATTTTTGACAAGATGGCAATGGCTCAACGTCAAGATTCTACTCTTGACAAATATTGGAAAGAAGCTGAAGAAGGAAAAGAGACAGAATTTAAAGTCTCTGATAAGGGAATACTTATGTTTCAAGGAAGAATTTGTTCCAAAAGATAAAAATCTTAAGAGTCAAATTCTTTCTGAAGCTTATAATACCCCTTATTCGATACATCCAGGAGCAACTAAGATGTATCAAGATCTAAAACAACACTTTTGGTGGAGATATATGAAAAATGACATCGTGGACTACGTTAGTCGTTGTTTAACATGTCAAAAGGTTAAAGCAGTGCATAAACGTCCAGCTAGAAAGCTACAACCCTTAGATGTTTCAGAATGGAAATGGGAGCATATAACCATGGATTTTGTGCTAGGACTACCCAAAACAAGTGAAGGTTATGATGCAATATGGGTAATTATTGATAGATTGACTAAATCTGCCCATTTTGTACCTATAAAAGTGACGTATACCTTAGAAAAGTTAGCAGAGTTATACGTCACCAACATAGTTAGACTGCATGGCATACCATTATCCATTGTCTCAGATCGGGATAGCCGTTTTACCTCCATGTTTTGGAAGAATGTACAAGAAGCCATGGGCTCAGAATTAAGATTTAGCACAGCTTTTCATCCTCAGACTAATGGACAATTGGAACGTACCATCCAAACTTTAGAAGATATGCTTAGGGCATGTGTGATGGATTTTAAAGGAGCATGGAATAAGATATTGTCATTGATTGAATTCTCGTATAACAACAGTTATCAAGCTTCAATCGGTATGCCACCATATGAAGCTTTGTATGGAAAAAAGTGTAGATCTCCCATTCATTGGTATGAAACTAGGGAGAAGCAATTGCATAAGACGGAATTCATTCAGGAGGCAGTTGAATCCATCCAGAAAATCCATCAAAGAATGAAGACGGCACAGGACTGTCAGAAAAGCTATGCTAATAAGCGTAGAGACCCTTGGAGTTTAATGAAGAGGATTCAATCTTCTTGAAGATCGCACATATGAAAGGTGTTATGCGTTTTGGTAAGAAAGGCAAATTGAGCTCAAGGTATATAGGACCTTTCCAGATTGTTAAACGAATAGGGAAAGTAGCCTATCAATTGGCTTTACCGCCAGAATTAGCTGCGGTACATGATGTATTCCACGTCTCAATGTTAAAGAAGTATGTACCCGATTCATCCCATGTTATAAAACATGAACCGATACAGATTTACGAGGACATGACTTATGAGGAACAACCGGTGCAAATACTTGCACGAGAAGAGAAGCGTCTTCGTAATCGAAGTATTCCACTTGTAAAGATACTGTGGAGGAATCAAAAAGTGGAAGAAGCAACATGGGAACGTGAAGATGAGATGAGAAGAAAACACCCCTATTTGTTTTGATTTTCGGGACGAAAATTTCTTAAGAAGGGGTGAATGTAATGACCAGGAAAAATTTAGGTCTAATCCGAATAGTCCAGTATTTGACCGAAATTCTTTCCGGAATAGTAAGTAGTAGAATTTTGATGTAATCAAGAAAATGTTATGTAAAAACTTTATGTACGGGGTAAAATTTCTTGAAATATGTAAAGTTATAATACGAATATTTTTACAAAGAAAATTCGTAAATATCAGTTATGAATAGTAAAATATTAGTTAAAAGTTAAAACTTTTAGCAGGTATATTTTAGGTATGAAAAACTGAAATATTTGGTATGTGACCAAATGACCAGCTAGAAAAAGAGTAGAAACATTATAAATAGGGTCATCACAGTAGCAATCTAACTCAGCTACTCCGCACTGCTTCTAGAGTCGCCTGGGAGGGGTTTAATATTTATAAAATAATAAAACGTGAGTGAAAGGTCCAGTAGGATGTATTTTTAAATAAGCTTTATAACAAGTAAATAAATGAATGAGTAAATAAATAAATGAATAAGCAATGAAATAAATATAGACATTCAGTTCCAACACAACAGCCGGAACCTCACATCCTTTTTTGAAAGGAATATAAACTGAAAATTCTGTATTACAGGCATTAGCAAGTAATTCATCCTACACAACCACAAGCACAAGCCTTTACACCACCGTAGTGGCCCGGTCCGGGTTTTGGGTCATGCCCCCAAGGATGCATTCCCCACATCTTATCCAGGCCATCATCCAGTTTACCGATTTGCAAGATCTCTTGTCTGAAGAAATCATTCTTTAAACTTTCTGAAATAGTTCATTATAATTCCAATAGCTAAAATCAAGCTATTGTTTTGAAAATGCTTTTTTTTTTTTTTCAAACATGCCCTTTCTTTAAAACATTTGTAAGGCCAAAACTCTTTTAAAATTAGGCTAACAAAGAAAGGGGTAAGAAATCCTACCTCTCAAGTACCAAACCTGTGGCTACCGGTGCACTATTCCAGCTTTCGCTTCCTCAAAGCCCCTCAATCCGAGTCCTCAGCTAGCACTGATACAAGACAATACTTTAGGATCCAATTCTCATTCCTAAAGCAATTCAATCTCAATTATATCCTTTGATTTCCTATTAGTGTGCCATAATTCAATTACTGGTTACATAAACCATTTCATGTTTCAAATCATCATTCCAAGGGTTTTAATTTGAAAATATGGATTAAAGATGCTAATCCATTTACTCTAGATCCCCAAATGAAGCTAATTTGGGTTGTCTTCAAAAATCAAGGTCAAAACAGGGTTTTCAAGCAAAACATGGTCAAACCCCATGTACACTGGCCAACCGGTGACAGAGCAGTGCAACACCACCGGTCGACCGGTGGTGTGTAATTCAGTCAACCGCACAAGTCGACCTGATGGAGTGCAATCCGGTCGACCGCATAAGTCGACCAGTGGAGAACAGCAGGGCGAGGAAACTCGCCAAATCAGACTGAAAACCTGCAATTTCGAGTTCCAATTCAAAATATTTCAAAGGGAATCACCCAAACCAGGTTCTAAATGACTAATCAAGTCCAAAGAATCAAAAATCCCCAATTTCTACCGGGATTTTACCCAAAATCCATGAAAATCCATTTTGAACCAAAATAGGTTTTCAAATCCTAGAAATCTGATATTCAAGAGAGGTTTTTCAAAAATCTTACCTCAAATTCTTCTCTTGACATTGACAACTTCTTTAAATCCTTCTTTCGTTCAAGATCTGGTTGATTTTGTGATGATTTGAATGGGAGAGAGGCAAGAACGAACGAGAGAGTGTGTGTGTGTAAACGACAGGAAAGAGAGAGAAATGCACGGGAAAGGAAAATGAAAAGAAGAAAAGAAAACAGAAAAGAAAAAGAAAATGGACAAGTGTAAAATATTTCAAATGCAGTCCAGAAAATGTGTCTACACACACTTCTGAGGTAAAAATATAAATACTGAGAATATTTAAATTCCTTATAATTATTTAAATTTACACATCAAAAATATTTATTAAATATTAATTAATTTATTAAACCAGATTAGGCACACTAATAAATCTTAATTACCTTAATTAATCTCATTTAATTCTCCAGGGTGTTACAACTCCACCCCTCTTAAAGAATTTCGTCCTCAAAATTAGGACTTACCTCAAAATCCAAATAGATGCGGGTACCGCTCCTGCATCGTCATTTCAAGCTCTGATGTCGCTTCCTCAACTCCATGGTGCTGCCATAAAACTTTCACTAATGGAATCTCATGATGATGCAAACTTTTCATCTTCTAATCAAGAATCTGAACTAGGACTTCCTGGTATGTCGCGTCATACTGTAGCGAAACGTCATACCAGTGTACCACAGCTTCCGGATCAGGTTGACATTTATGAAGCATGGAGACGTGGAACACGTCATGCACGTGAGAGAGCTCAGGCGATAAAGCTAGACGATACGCCACGACACCAACTCGTTGCACGATCAGGAATTACCCGACGTACCTTGGCACAAGTTTCCCTTTTACATCAAAACGAACAACTCCTTCACGTGGAGAAACCTTTAACAAAACGAAGTCGCCTTCCTGGAATTCCAAAGGTCTACGCCTTCTGTCAGCATAGCTCTTTTGACGACTTTGAGTCGTTAACAATCGTTCCTGAATCACAGCCATCTTCTCATTATTTTCTTGTATAATTTTTGGCCCAGTGGTAAGTCGATCTTCTAGTTCCAGTCAACAAACTAGTGATCTACAAGGTCGACCATAAAGAGCTTCAAACAAAGCCATGTCGATACTAGCCTGATAGCTGTTATTGTAAGCAAACTCGGCAAGGTGAAGATATTTCTTCCAGTTTCCACCAAATTTCAGAATACAAACACGAAGCATATCCTCCAGAATCTGAATAACTCTTTCAGATTGCCCATCAGTCTAAGGATGAAATGTTGTGCTAAAATTCAATTATGTTCCCATTTCCAATACCTTGCATTAAAATGAGTGTCGCGATCGGACGTAATAGACAATGGAACCTCGTGAAGTCTCACGATGTGCTCCAGGTACAATTCAACTAGAATCTTCTGAGAATACGTTGCACGGAATGATATGAAATGAGCAAATTTCGTCAACCTGTCCACCACCACCCAGATGGTATCGTGCTTTTGCTCAGTCCTCGAAAGTCCCATCAGAAAATCCATCGTGATGTGTTCCCATTTCCATCCCGGAACAGGTAGAGGCTGCAGTTCTCCTGCAGGATTCTGGTGTTCAGCTTTGATCCGGAGACAAGTTACACATTCTGAGACATACTCACGAATTTCTTTCTTCATACCTCTCCACCAGTATTGTCTCTTCAGGTCCTGGTACATCTTGGTGCTTCCTGGATGAATAGCGTACCACGACTTATGGGCCTCATGCAGAATCGCCTTTCTTGATCTCATCCACCTTAGGAACAGCTAGGCGGTTATGAAAGTAAAGTGCTTCATCCTCTCAAATTCTTCAATCCTCAAGTTGCTCTCCATTCTGAATTTGAATCCAAATTCCTTGGAGATAAGGATCTTGCCACTAATTCTACTTAACTTGTTGCATAAGAGCCAGTGTGGAGATCAGATTATACACCATTGCCTGGTTATAATCCTTGTAGTACTGAAGATCATAGTTGCTTACTACTTCAGTCCTTTTCCAATCTTCCAAAACTAATGACGCCATAGTTCCTGTAGTCTTCCTGCTAAGGGCATCAGCTACCACATTAGCTTCTCCCGGATGATATTGTATAGTGAAATCATAATCGTCCATATATTCCATCTATCTCCTCTGCCTAAGATTCCAATCTTTCTGAGTAAACAAGTACTTCAGACTCTTGTGGTCAGAGAAAACCTGAAACTTTACTGCATAGACATAACATCTCCATATCTTTAGAGCAAATATCACCGTTGCTAGCTCCAGATCATGAGTGGGGTAATTTTGTTCATATGGCTTTAAATGGCAATACGCATAAGCTACTACGCGTCCACCTTACATCAAAACACAGCCAAGTCCACTCCTCGATGCGTCAGAATATACCTCATATGGCTCCTTACTATCGGGTATAGTCAAGACTGGTGCACTGGTCAGCTTGGTCTTCAATTCCTAAAAAGCATGTTCACACGCAGCGTCCCATTCGAATCTGACTTCTTTCTTGGTCAACTGAGTCATCAGTGCAGTAATGCTTGAGAAATCCTTTGTCCGAGGAAACTTTGAATCTCTGTAACATTCTTCGGCCTTTCCCACTATAATACAGTCTCAATCTTGGAATGATCTACAAAAATTTCTTGTCCTGATATCACATGTCCAAGGAACTTCACTTCCGTCAGCCAGAAGTCACACTTCTCTTTCTTCGCATACAACTGGTGTTCGCGAAGAGTTTGAAGAACAATTCTCAAGTGATACTCATGTTCTTCCCAAGTTTTTGAGTAAACCAGAATGTCATCGATGAAGATGATCACAAACTGATCCAAGTAAGGCCGGAAGACACGGTTCATTAAGTCCATGAATGCAGCTGGACATTTGTCAGCCCAAAAGGCATCACTAGAAAATCAAAATGCCCATACCGAGTTCTAAAAGTAATTTTCAGAATGTCTTCCTCATTAATCTTTAGCTGATGATATCCTGACCTCAAATCAATCTTAGAGTAATACTATGATCCACCCAACTGATCAAAGAACTCATCGATCCTCGGCAGTTGGTATTTATTCTTCACAGTTACTCCATTCAATTGATGATAGTCTATGCACAACCGGAGAAATCCATCGTGCTTGTTCACAAATAATATAGGTGCACCCTATAGGGAAGTGTTATTCCATATATACCATTTTTTTGCTAGTTCTCCAAGCTGCTTCTTTAATTCTTTCATTTCAGCAAGTGCCATTCGGTAAGGAGGAATAGAGATAAGTGTCATTCCCAGAATCAAGTCAATACCGAATTCAATTTCTTGGTTTGGCGGTAACCAGGGTAACTCATCCAGAAATACGTCTG